CATAGGTGTGACATGGACATTAAACATGATCTTTGTTTTGTCCATGTTCATCTTAAGACCTATCCGTTGGGAGACACCATTGAGGTCATTAAACATAGTGCTAAGGTCCTCCAGCGATTCTGCCATAAGGACTATATCGTCGGCGAATCGAAGGTGAGGCGCCATTGAGGTTAATACCGTATCCTTTCCAGTCCAGTAGCTTGAAAACGTCTTCCAGTGCAGCGGTGAAGAGTTTCGGGAAAATAACGTCACCCTGTCTTACACATCTCTGCAGTTGGATAGGTTTCGAGCTCTGGTTCTGTACTCGGATAGCCATCGTAGCCCTACTGTACAAACACTTCAGCACTTCGATATACCGACAGTCAACTTGGCACCGCTGAAGGGACTGTAGCACCGCCCAAATTTCGACAGAATCAAAGGCTTTCTCATTGTCCACATACGCCAGGCAAAGTGGCAGATTGTACTCTTCGGTCTTCTGTTCAATCTGCCGCAGAGTATGTATGTGGTCTATGGTACTGAATCCGTCTGTGTGCGAGACGATTCGTAATGACTCTCGAAAACAGCACGTAGACGCGGCTCAGAAGGGAAATCGGTCTGTAGTTCTTCAAGAGTGCGTTGTCGCCTTTCTTAAAGAACAAGACCACCGCACTTCTGCTCCACGCCTCTGGAGTAGTGCCACCATGTAGGACGGAGTTGAAGAGCTTCGGAAGGACTTCAAGTACCGGTGTTCCACCCGCTTTCAGAAGCTACGCTGTAATTCCGTCCTCGCCTGGGGCCCTGCCGTTTTTAAGGTGCTGGAGAGCCATTCTAATCTCGCTTAGACCGACGTCCGGGATATCATCGGAATAGTGTCGGATAAGACTTGCTCTTGGATCGTTACTCACACTTGCGTGTGGCTCCAACGATGATGTGTACAGCTGCCCATAGAACCTCTCAATCTCACTCAAAATCTCAGGTGTCCCGGAAACGATGTTGTCACACTCATTCTTCAGCTTTGACAGTTGGCTCTTACTGGCAGACAGATCCCTGGCAAAGATTTTGGAGCCCTGGTTCCGCTCAATCGCTTCTTTAATACGAGCAGTATTAAAGTTGCGTAAGTCTCGCCGCATGCATTTGGAGATCTGTCTGTTCAGTTGCCTGTATGCTGTCAAATCTGTTGACGACTGCAGCCTCATTTCCCGTCTAACAGCCATGAGATTAAGAGTGTGATCGGAGAGTTTTTGTGTTCTTCTGCGGCGGGTCTTGCAGAACTTAGCTCCGACCGCATGGACAATTTCCACGAGCTTGTCATTTATATCGTCGACTGCATTGCAATCCTCTAGACACTGAAAGTGGTTACGTAACTCGAGCTGAAAGGTTTCGGGATTCTGGATTAGAGTACGAGGGGGACGGAGCGTTGACTTCATTAGACGAGACCTCTCCAACTTAACGTTTAGGTTCAGTGTGCCTCTAACCATTCGGTGATCGCTGCCAGTTTTGACCCTTGCGATCACTGAGACATCACTGAACAGTTGGCGTCTGGTCGTCATAATGAAGTCAATCTCATTTTTTATCGAACCGTCGGGGCTCGACCAGGTCCACTTCCTGTGGGGCTGCTTCTGGAAGAAAGAGTTCATCATAAAGAGTCCCTCTTTCTCCATAATGTCGGCCAGCTGCTGGCCCCCCTCGGTTCCGTTGCCCTACTCCAAATTTCCCTAACTTCAGCTCACCGTTTTCTCTTGTACCTAGTTTTGCGTTGAAGTCTCCCATCAACACCGTGTAGTGGGTTTTTGAGGAATGCATGGCTTTGGAAATATCCTCATACATTTCCTTCACCTCCTCATCGGGATGTGCCGAGGTTGGTGCGTAAACCTGTAAAAGCTTCATATAAGTTACAACAAATCTTCACAGCACCGTAAATTTTTGAGCTCTGTAGCCTTTTGTAAAATGAAGCAAACATTTTTAAGATATTTAAGTTATAAGAATCCACAACACAACTCAATAAAAAAAGCTGCGGTTGCCAACCCTCGTGCCAAGCGTAGTAACTATGAAAATATATCTCTTTGAGGCAAACTAGTGGACTTTTGTTAGGCTGTTATGAAAATGATGAAATCTATTTTTTTAACATTTGGAAGAAATCGAAGTTACCTAAACCTAATAATGACGATACTTTTAAGCTACTGCATTACGATACTAAGGCGTGCAAATCAAATTATTTTATGTGCTGGGTAATAACATAACATTTGTATGAAAATACAACAATTCTCCTCTATTGTCGTTTCTCCACCCCATGGAAATAAAATTTGCGCAACTATCTACTTAATTTCGAACGCTTGTCCCGTTTGGCTACCTTATTTGACGGTATAAATATATTATTTTGTTCTGTACAATCTTCATATCTACTTAGTGAGAAATATTATTGAAAGCTATAAAAGTTCCACATCAATATCACCAATAATTTGTTACCTACTATTTAATGGTTGCTAATAATTACCTATTACTTAACATTTTCAAAACGCCCTCTTTTCAATGGTAATTTCGTTCTATTTGAATTATTATTAACTGGTATAGTACAAGGCTGCCACTGGTACACCTTTCTCGCATCGCATCAGTTGTCAATTCATCAAATTGAATACCCACTTTAGCTTACTGATGCATTCGTTATTACGAACTCTATCAAGTAAAGAAACTGAGCATAGGCCTCTCTTTAGCTCGCTGAGTGACCTTGACCTTCCTGATATAGACAGTAGTGAATGATTACTTCACCGTTCAATATGTTATCACTGTCAATACGCGAGTTATGACCAGCCGAGTTGAATTCGTCAATTGAACTCTGTCGAAATTGTTCTAACTTAATCGGTCAGTTTGTCCCAGGTAAACATAATGTCAACACACTTCCAGCATAGTTTTCCTGATACACTACTACGTCCGACATGAATTATGTCATCTTATTACCTACTTACTAATTGGGAAACATATCGAGGCCATGGAGCATTGTGCTAAAGTTCAGTGATTACGCTATAACCGTGTAATGGTCGTGTTAGAATATCCACTACAGCATATCGTCCCTTGGGTTTCGTTACAGGCGACAGAGGGAAACCAGAACAGGCGATGAGCAATATCTTCATAACATCTCAAAATAATTAAAAACAACGTTTACTAACACGCCTGCCAAACGTGGCAACCATGGCAAAATCAGTCCATATGAGGCTTGAGGCTATCTAAGTTCAGTAGTGAACTTTTAAAGGCAATCGTGCATGGATGGATGATTGGATTCTGCCGTAATTACTTGCTTGTCGATACTGTATTATTTCTAGTGCAATAGCTTAAAAAGTCTTGCAATGCAGTGGTGAAGTTTTTTGGGGATATAACGTCACCCTGTCTTAGGTTGACATGCAGGAAGTCGATGAATACAAGTAACTCAATATTGTGTTTTTGTTTTTGTTATTTTTCGACTAGTGAACGGCTGTTACGATGATGATTAAATGAAGCAATTTCCTTAGTTAGTTGCAGTTACTTTATTTCATAGCCTATTCAGCAGTGACTTGTGAAGGGCTGTAATGATGATGATGATGACTTTATTTCCAGTGCATACACATGCAGTGTATGTACACGGCTTTAAGTTAGGGTGGTACGTCGCTTATGTTTGCACAGAAGCATAATGGTGACTTCATTGAGCTCAATACGCAAAACGCTAACGAATTTCGTCCCTTGTGGGTCGGATATGGGTCAAACTGCACAGTGTCCTGTCAGCCATTGATCGCTAACAGGACTGTCCTATTCTAAAATATTATGAATATTAAAACCAAATGCTACTAACATAAGTTACTAACAATTTCATGAACAACGTATTGTCTGAATAAAAAAAATATTATTACTATTAGTTACTATTATATTATACAATATTAAAATCATTTATTTTCCTTTTCCGTTTTCCATTCTCAACTCCTTCCCCATCTTATGTATACGTTTCTCACTTTATTATTTTGCTACTTTTAGATAATATACGCTTAGTAAACAATTGGTCACAATCTATAGGTAAATAACCAGTACGCTTTGACGTATGTCACTCAACAATCGCTTTAGACTCGATTTGGAATTTATCAATAATAAAATATTATACTCTTTTTAGTAAGAAGACACATGCAAATATAAGGGTTATTCGTTATCCTCACATCCTCATATCAGATACAGAATATCTAAGAAAGGGTTGAAATACAATTCGCCAAATACTCAAACAAGCGCTATACTATGAGTAATATAATTGTCTCAAATCTGCTATAATTTTTGTATTGTAGAAATAAAAATTAACATGAACTAGAATCCACTGATACTGATCACTATCACAACAAGTTTCATTAATCGTCGATAGGTATTTATGGTAATGTATGTTTATACTCAAGAAATACGATTAATTTTGTATTTCTTTAAATCTTTACGGAATGAGGGAAATACTTCTGTTTACACCATTTGCTACTTTCCTTTGAAGTGTGGGGGATACTGCTTGAAGTAGGAATTGTATTGTAAGTGCATGCTGCAAGTTTGTCGTTTGTTCAGTCCTGCACCCTTAGTAACGTTAAATTTAAACACTACTTTTGCTTTAAACAATAAATAGTCATTACAGTTATTAAAATTAATTATATTTTTTAAACATGGACTTTATTGTTCATATTAGAAAAGCTTTGCACTGTCGTATTGAAATAAAAAATTCAATGAACTGACGGCAACTATTGAATAATATGCATGAATCTACCTGTATTGGTTATTGCACTTTATCTGATTGAATATGATATTGTTAAACAACTGAATTCTATATTAAGAATTTTACTTCTTGATTGAACAGAAATATATATTTTACATTAAAATGTTTATATTTATATAAATGTTGACATTAAATTAACTAATGTACACGTGTGTTACGTAATGTTACGTTTGTATTATTTGGTATGCAAAATAACTGTCATTGCGAAATATACGGTTTTAAATTATAGTTTTTAATACATTATTTTATATGATTTTAGGCTAACTATGAGTTAAATAAGAGGCTAGACGACTTTACGAAGAATGGAATACCGACACTTCAGGGCTTCTGTGTTGCCACCATACCCGACCAGGCGTTTGCTTATCTTATGTGGGCAGAGGGGGCGAAGAACATAGAAGACTTTTACAGTGATAAAGGTAAGCAGTTAAACATATTCATAAGCCCTCTAACTTAGCTCAACAATCTATTAAAATGTCTATTCACTCTTACTTTGAGTGAGAGTTTGAGAAGACACCCACATTTTAATCGGATGATATGATAGATTCGGACATATCATTCCACTCCAGTGCTACACGGATTAAGAACGACCAAACAAACCGTTTGGTTTGAATGCGTGGTATTAATTAATTCCATACTAATTAATTTCTTCTGAATGGTTATAGAAGGCAAGACTCATTAACGTTTTCATTCGTATAATACCCATTAGTATTTGATCGTAAAATATCACCAAAAGTATTCCAAATGTGTCGACGACATTTTTAATTACGTATTTGTTACAAACAAATAATATTAAGACATTCTCGGACTTATTATATAAAGTTAGTTATCTTATACATATTTTGCACATAATAAAAATGTAAATTGATGCAGGTGTCTTTACTGTACATCATATATTTTTGGGACAAAAATACTACATAAGTAAATAAATACATTTCTGTACTTTATAGAAATGTTTGTCTGTCCGTTTGTTTTTTGAACCCATCTCTTCTACAGTACTTTTTTTTTTCAAAATTATCGTTAAGAAAATCATAAAGCTTTACTCAAAGATGTAACATGTTTCTTTGTTTTATTAAAATCAGTTCATTTTATATAAAGAAATTCATTTTACCTAATTATTACTTAGCAGTGTAGGTACGAATGTATTTAATAGTGGCGTCGAGTCATTAAATGTATTTTAATCTAATCTTTGAAATCGTAATTAAATTATATTAAATATTGTTCTCCAATGATAAACTTATACCTAAAACACAATAAACCAAAATTAGTAAATATTTTCATACAAAGATTAACGTAATACCATCTTAGTTAAAAAATACAATAATACTTAACTGTGTCATCGATAAATGGTGTTGTATTTTGTGACAAAAATTATTGAAAATTGAAACGTGATTTATAAGTGTTTTTGTTAGGCGGCTTTTTTTATAGAAGATGGGGCAAACGAGCATGCAGCTCATCTAATGGTAAGTGACTACCATCGCCCATGAACAACTGCAACACCAGGAGAATTGTAGACGCGTTGCCGGCCTTTTAAAAAGAAGTAATCTCTTCTTTTGACAATCCCTAAGTCTTATCTGTCCGGGAAAATCTCTGGTAGTAGTCAAATTCACAAGGAAATTGTGCTAGGAAGAAAACTTCTTTAAAATCGCACCGTGGTGGCGTGCCAGTGATCCAGATGGTATGGATGGTATCGCGAGTTTTATCGCGCTGTGCGATGGTGAAATTGAGCGGCTGGAATTAGTCCGAAAAATTGCTTTGAGCACTCCCCTTAGTAAATACGACAGAATATGCAAAGAGATGCAATATGTTTCCGCAGCACCAATGAGTCAAGCCGATCAGAAAGTGCTCGGCCGCCGACGAATCAAACCTCTCTGCACTGGATGCGATCACGTGGAAGGGGCTGGCAATAAGAAGCCCTGGCCCAGAGATGGGAACACTCTTCCATGTGACGCCAAACCTGCGCCTTGTAAAGTTGCAAGCGGTGTGCTGGCATGAAATAGTGTCTTTACAGAGCACGTCAAGCTTTTCAGAGGCCAGTTTGACCTTCTCTTCCAAGTGACCACGAAACTGCACGTCATTTGATATGTCGACGCCGAGGATTCCAATACTAGCTGAGTAACAAGGGGAGTGCCCTGAAACTGAGGAGATACAACAAAGGGGTTCTCATTAGCGGTAAACGTGCAAACTTTTTTTCTTTTTTAATCTTCTGGGGATTTAACTAAACGAGATTTAGTCGCCCCCAATCCTAGACCTTGTTCTACAATGTCTCGACTTCAGACACAAATTTATTCCAGTACTTGGTGAAGTTTTCCCGAGAAATATTGGCACGAATGGTTTTGAAAGCATCACCAGTGCTGTCGTCCGCATAGCAATGAATATTGGTGCGACTTGCAACATATCACTGACATTCAGAAGAAACAGTGTTGACGATAGCACGCAGTCTTGTGAAAGACCATCTACTATAATCTTAATGCTCCGATCAGCCAGAAAACTGGTGATCAAATTGCACAATTTCTCTAAAATCCCATAGTAAGGAAGCTTGGAGAGACGCGTTTTGTCCCAACACCGATCGAAGGCCTTTGCTATGCCCAAACTAACCGTCAAAGCCTTCCCCTTGGACCCAATCACCTGCGCCCATCGGTTTGTATCGGTACGAAGTATCAGCCGAAGAGGACACCTACGTCTCGGTCAAAAAGGGCAATGCTGGCTTCGTCGCTTCAGATGGTAGTAGACGGCTTTAAGTTTTGAGTGAAGTCACAAGATGTAGCAGAGGTCCACGACAAGTATACCAGCCTTCTTAATTGCTGCTGATCTTTATATTACTTATAAGCGGAATAACTCTTAAACCAATTTAAACTTTATTAGGTATTTCTTGTAGTATATTTACCGTGAAAACTTGATGTAATGCTAAGATATTAATCAAATCATTAATTTTATTTTTTTAAAACGCGGTAAATCCAATTTCAAAAGTTCTATTAACAATTTCGTCGGTTTCGGCGAGGATTGAGTTTAAGTTTTTCGTGTTACGTGTGCGCGCTTATTTTCTGAGCTACGACGGCTCTCCTTCTGTTAATAATGTATAAATTTGATAATTTAATTAAAATCCCTATGTTTTCGATTATCGGAAACCTGTCATTGTATAAAGGTTCTTTTACATAATGTATAAGAAAAAAATTTCTTTAATTTTTTAGCGCTGCACTGATGAAATAACAGTGCCATCTACCTTTATATTAAAAAAATGTATCTCTTTTTCGTTTATTAACTTATAATCTACTTTTACTACCGGTGTAGGAATTATTATAACTCCTACTTCCCTGCCATGTAGTGGTAGTATAAGAATATCCACTACCCCATAACATCCCATGGGTGTCGTAATAGGCTTCTTACAGACACTGAAACAGGATATGGGTAGTAGAGCACAGAGGAAAGGAAAATAATTAAAAAATTGTTGATACCCACCTGCTTCCCAAGTGTGTTAGCTATGGTATAATCCCCCCTACGAGCGCCTTTGGGGTTTGCTTATTTTTAGCAATGAAATTTCAACAGGCTGTCATAAATGGATGAACAATATCGTGTTTTTGAATATAAATAACTGACTACATTGAACGGAACTCTTATGTTGAACGATACGAACGATATTGCATACTATGCACAAATTACTTGAAAATTTCCGACTTTTACTATCATTATGTATAGGAAATTGTTACCGTTAAAGTTGTTAAAACTTAATTAACTTATTTCCGCGTAAGAAAATATAATTATGTGCCCTACCTAGCTTGAAAAGCACCTCCCGCCCTCCCTCAATTGTGTGCAATATCTCTGTTACAACTTATCCCAGTACCACCACACGCACTACACGAGGCATACTGAGGTTGAGTAGACTCTGCGGTGGCTGATCGCTAAGTCAAATGTAGAGGCGAAACACGTGTTGTATTATCGAGAGTAGTATGTCTTTCATCGCTATATTCAACTTAGCCGCAGATTTAGTATGTTTTTATTTACATATAATCTTTTAGCATTTACCGACAGATTTTATTGTTCACTTTTATTTAATATCCTACAAATCTTTACAGTGGTATTCTGCTCAATTTAATTGTTTCTTAAAGGAATGTGGTCGATATTGCCATTGGTTGACATGCATTGCATGACTTTAGTGTGAGGGTGTCTTATCCCACAAATTCGTCCTAAACAAAAAACCCCCAACCTCATAAACAATTGACAACACGATGCAAAAGCTAAAGTTAGGAGAGGGCAGATACTGACGATATTCGTCGCATTACTTTATGTCCCAAAAATGTCAAAAGAATTATCAATTCTTGGCCTTCTACTGCAAATCATTGGCCTCGTTTTTGGAGAGAGGGCGAACGAGCATGCGACTCGTTTTATCTACCGCCATAGTTGTCGCAGATGCTTTACCAGCCTTTTAAAAAGGAGTATCCTCTTTTCTAGAAGGTCCCTAAGAAGTTCAAGTATCGGTTCAGAAAAATCTCTGGTAGTAGTCGATTTGACAAGGAAGTTGTGCGAGGAAGAAAACTTCTTTTAAATCGCACAGTGGTGAATCGCCAGTAATCCAGAAAGTATGGATGGTATCGCAAGTTTTGTCGCGATGTTCGATACTGAAATTGTGCGGCTGGAGTTAGTCCTAACAATTCCTCTGAGTATTCCCCGTGGTAAGTACGATAAATTACGCAAAGTAATGCAACATCTCTTCATAGTGCTAGTGAGCCGATCGGAAAAAGCTCGGTCGCCGACGATTCGAACGGCTCTGCGCTGGATGCGATCAATAGAAGGAGCTGGCACTAGGGAGCCCCAGCCCAGAGATGGAAACAGTATTCTAAGGCCGAACCCGCGCCTAGTAAAGTGGCAAGCGATACGTCGGCACGAAATACTGTCCCTCTCCCACTGTACAAGTCATCGTCATCATAGGTCTCCGTCACGGAATGCCACAAAGCACGGTCCTGAGCCTCCTGCATCGACTTTCTGCATGTCTTACGAGGTTGTCACTTCATCTGGTGGGGGGCCACCCTATACTACAACTACCGACACGAGGCTGAACAACTCCAGAACCTTTCTTCTCCATTGGTTGTCGGTTCTTCGAGTTATGGCAGACCGAATGCCATTTCATCTTAATAATCCGTTGTGATATGTCGTGTACTCTAGTTCTACTGCGGATATGCTCATTTTGAATTCTTTCACGCAGAAAAACCCCGAGAACCGCTCTTCGTAGATCGCTGAGCTACTTTGAGCTTCCTCATACGGCCAACAGTGAAAGAACACATCTCAGTCGTCACTGGCAACACGCCCTGATTGTAAAATATTGTTTTATGGTTTTGAGGTATACCTAACGATACAATCCGTTGGTTGATCTCTCCCTCGAAGTTGTTTTTACCTAGTTGGACTATTTGTCTCAGGTAAACAT